CGTTTTCTTCTGGATGCCTCGTGGTTGCCAGATTGTGCACGAACGTCACATACGACGTTGCCGGCTCTTTGCAAAAATCTGAGACTGTTGTAAAATGCTGTAGTGCACATTTCTGATATATTGAAGATTTTATAACGCCATGTGTTAACATATTTTTGCTGTTTTGACATATAGGTAGTCGCTTACCTATTAAGGCAGCTGCACTGGTTTCACTGAAAGAAAACTAGAAGTAGATATTTTCCTGTTGTAAGGTTGGATGTAGATACCTCTCTCAAAAGTTCACCTTATCTTGACTATAGCCTTCAAGGTTACTGTTAAGGTCAAATCCATGATCACCATTTGAGGGAAATCCTAATAACAGGTGGTTTTACTTCTTATCCAATAATATTTAAATCTGATGTAATCCTTCCACATCTATCAATAGGGGGACTTCCGGGTTCCGTCGAAGATAGGGAGGGGTTGCTGGGGATCGAGCTCTTTAGAATTTTTGATCGCCATATTACAAACTACCACTTTCCATAAGAAAGCTCAGAGCTCTTTGTCACATACCGGTATAGTCTTCACTATTAGAAAAGCACCAACATTTCCGAAGTCAATTACATATCTCGTAACGCCTCCACATAACATTTTTTGTGTTTCCTTATCATAATCAAAGTTGTTAACCTAATGACTACATGCAAACTTAGCGATAGAATTAATGTTGCCAGTAGCGACTAACAATTAATTTCCAGCGTTTATTATCAAGTGTAAAATGTGTTCGTTTATGAGCATATGTCGAAATTTAATCACGGTTGGCTGTTGAAATGACAACGTTATTTTGAAAGAAGCTGTCGTGCGACCAGATATGAATTCATGGGACTTGCGTGATTAATCACAATGAACATGGCATTGACGCCACGGTGTCCGCGGTGATTCATTCGCATCTGATATAAAGAGGTTAGATAGTTTGGAGGTTACTTGCGAAACTACGATATCAACTCATGTACAGCACAAGGCACATGCTCCCAGAAAAAAGTGTGTGACGGGGAAAAGGGAACAGATCAAGTCCATAGACATGCTTTCCATCTGGCAACGTCGCATCTTCCCGATCGCTGACCACACGATGCGTCAGACGGTAGACAGAGCAGCACCGTGGTAGCAGAGAGCAGAAGGAGATGCGCGTATCGAAAACGTTTATCTATCAACATAAGTTTCAAAGGTAAATATACGGGGAAATAGGTGCCTAGAGTTTATAACTATGCTAACATGAACAAATTGAGACGTACCTTCTTCCACCATCTACAACCTCCAATTTGTAACCCCTACAAATTTTTTCATGAAGACGATCTGAAACGTCAAAAATCGAAATCTGACTTGCTTCCAATTTGAAGTTAAAGAATAAAACTGGTACCCGATTTACCCAAAAGACAGGTTTTTGTCGAGGTAGCAAGGGCTTTCGAACATTTTTGTCATATAAATTATCAAATCAAAATTTTCGTTTTTGTCTCTCGTTCTCATACGTGAATGAATCGCTGAAGATTGGCAGCGATGTATTTTGAAATGCTGATTTTGAATATCGCTATAAGAATCGAGTAGGTTGACACATCATATCACAAAAACCATGTCTGGGATCTTGTATAACAAATGAATTAATTAGTTACTTAGTTGTAGTCTATCACAGCTGTTTTGTGTTTTTTGGTAACCCATCGGCATGGTCTAGGCTTGGTCTCTGCGACAGCGCACGAAATCATCGCGACTATCCTCTATTCCATATACAGGGTTTGTCCGGAAAGTAATAGGACAATTTAAAAAAATGTATTGAGCCAATCGTTACAATTCTTTAAAAACTTTCAAAATAGGCTCCTTCTTTAGTCACTAACCTGTTTGGTAACATTAAATTTATCAAAAACTAACCTCTATTATTAAACACATACACAGATTGAAAGACATCTAAATATATCCTTACATGAATAAAAGCTATTGACATCCACAATAGTCGATCATGCAATTGTAGGACGCCTTTGTGGCCTCCTTGATTTTCAAGGTTTTTTCTCTCGTTCGGAAAAGCTGGGGTATTTCTAGTTTTCTACTGTTCCTTATCAGCATGAGCGCCCTCACATTGTGAGGTTATGTTTTCTTGTTCACCTGTAGGAAATTTCGGGCTGATAAAACAATTGATATATATTTATGCAATTAGATATTTGTGACATAACCTCAAAATAGAGCGCTGACACGGAACAGTAGAAAACTACGAAAATCAAGGAGGCCATACAGGCGTCATACAATTCTTGTAGGAACGCCCTTAATCTCGGTTCGACTTGAGCATAAAAAATACCAACTAAATGGCTCTCCGATAGAACTGTTTTTAGATTTCTGGGGAATTGATTTTTGAAACTAGATTCTCTTGCACCAAGACAGATAGATATCTTTGTATTCGTTCACTTGAAGGTTTAACAACATCCTTATTGAATAATCTCATCTCTGAATAGCATTTTTGACATGTTCGTAACGGTAAATATTTTATAGAGGCTACATTACACGTGCATAAGACGTTATGAAGCGGTCACTTCTCTCTAGGTACCTTGCAAGTTGCAATTATCTCGCAGCACTTAATCATTCCCATTGATCGAAGCCATTAGGTTGTGCAGTTTTATTGTGATTTTATTGCCGCTCCGACACCCACTTTCAGGCGCATACTTATCTAGGTTAAATTCGACCCGTGCCGGTCGTGTACTCGCAACTTGCGGCTCGGTGGCATTTCGTGCAGGATAATGTGCCTTCTATTCATTGCTCTGACGGACGGTGATTGACTAGTACAGGGGTCATTACAAAAGTTCTCGATTAAAATGAACAAGGAATAGAAGGAAAAACGACACCCAGTACTGTGTGCCACACGAAAGTTTGCGAGAGACGGAAAGGTGAGAGACGGAGGACGGAAGATAGGTGGTCCGAAGTCATAGGCGGCATGAAATGTGCGGAAAGTGAAAATAACATATAACAATAAATTAATAAGACGTAACAATAAATGAATAAGCAATTATTGGTCATTAACAAATTGAATGAAGATCAATTGAGTAGATAGTCGTCTTACCGTGTCTCTAAGATCGTGCATTGTCAGATAGTCGAACCTATTCTAATATTCACCGTGTTAAAAGTGTTTCTGGGCGAAAAGGAACATCTGAAGGTAAACCTTTACTAAACTTTATCAACTTTCACTACGTACTAAATATCAGTGAAATATCTGAAGCGGTTCTGAAAATATTAATTAATTTCCATTTTTTCCCTAAAACTTCAACAACCCGAGTTTTTGTAGGAAACGTTTTTGGATCATAGTTTATAAAGCAAACTAACATTACTTTTTCATATAGTATGTGTATTTCTAATGTACACCACGATACCAACAAAAGTCCTGAAGATATAACAAACTTTCTTGTGATTCCTTAATCGAAATCAAGTCGTACGATATTTCTGCGTGAACACAGCAACATGACAGATATCCGTGCATAATAAGACAGCTCCGCAATAACTGGGTATATGCATTTATATACTGTATAGTCCGCCCTCGCGGAATTGCCAGTCCGCTGTTCGTCAGTTGTCAGCCGGCCACGGCACACCGTGATTGATAGGCCCGTTGATGTTGACACAGGCTGCAACGGTTGCATTAGAGCATTTGTAGTGATGGGAGATGAACGAATATTCGCGAGTGAGGGAGAGTATTCGATAGTTGTTGGGGTTTTCCAAATAGAAAAAAATTAGATTTTTTGAAGCTGTGTCTATCATTCCTTTAAGTGTTTGCTGTAGGCATTCAACGCTAACAAGGCTAAACTTAAACCTTGTCAATGTGCAACGAGTTGTGGTACTGTCGCTTTGTTCTACTAGGCGAATGGATGTTTCTGTAGTGAGAATTTCGATTTTAAGAAGCCCAAATGCAAGGGCACTGCGTTTGCTATGAAGTTCCCAAAGAAACCTTGTTAATCCGAGTTTTGAACTACCTAGGGTTAGTAGAACTGGGAAAAGTCTACTCTTGTAGATTTTTTCGTCGGTATAGTACTGTATTTTCGAAGCGATAAACTGTACAAGATCGATGCGTCCCAAAGCGGTGATAACCTCCAGCTCTCGTTAGAAAGGAAGTCGCTGCTAGTCTTGTCATTCTGAATTCCTGCATGTAGAGTGCTGTCATCGGCAAAGCTGTGCATTGGATTGATCGTAAACGAAAGGAGGTCGTTGAGTTTTCGTGAGATTTGCAGGCATTTGGACTTGAAATTGAGATTACATCGTTACCCATCACTACCAGAGGTGTATAGCCAAGAGGAGTTATAATAGGTCGTACTGGTAACAGGCCGGGTCATGCTGTGGTCGTACGCGGTACTGCCGCTCCACTGTGAAGACCTACGGAAGATTATCGCCTATGAACAGAGGCGTGCCACTTTCGAAGAAGGGTGGACATACACGTGGCCTCAAAGTTTGGGCTTTCCTTCAAGCAACAACCAAAATTTCCTATAGTGGATACCAAATAAAATCCGATGCACGTCATAGGTGATGTCATTCATAAAAATCATGGTTACCAACAGTTGACTACATTGAATGTGACATTTCTACTTGAAGTTTGAATTTCCCCGTCTCGATTCGGTTGGTAGTGCCGTGCAGAGAAATGTGAGGTTGCCACTTCTCATTTGTTGACGTCAGTTGCCATTGTCCTTTTGTCGTACTATTAGTTCTTTATTGTTTAGTTTGTGAGTTTTGCGCTATTTGAGCTTTGAATCGTTGCCTTGCCAATTAAAAGTTGTTCTTTTCAGAACAAAAGTTACTGTGAAGTGGTATAAAGTATCCAAAATGCCAAAACAACTTAACAGTCGGTGTAAAGAGCTCATATCAATTCTGGCAACAGCGCACAGCTCCAGATCGATGACGTGCATCGGGTTTTATTTGGTAGAGTAAAAACCATCCTAGTTTGGTACACCTACGTCACACGCAACAAAGAGAAAATATAGTGCGATGTCTGTTTAGTTGTTCTAAGATCGATGCGGAATAACTTCACAGGCGTGCACTGCTGTTTTGTATTAATATTGTCACGCAAATGAATGTCGAAATGAGCTGGCAACCCCGAGGTTCAAATATCATAATATTCAACCCTCTCGCAGTACTGCCTGAGCAATCGTTCGGTCAACATCCATAAGGATATTGATTTCGTCATTGAAAGCGTTGCCAGTTATTTTGTTCCCGAAAGATCGCCGGCGTTTTATCTGTTTGTTTTTTGGTATTAATTTGAAATTATTTGCTACTATTTATTTAAGATATTACTACGTGTGTGTGTGTGTGTGTGTTTATATTGATAATATTGATATGGCACCTAAAAAACTTGGACGGGGTCGTGTTTTACACAGCCAAAGCTGTGAAATTGTGAACAATATTATTCAGTTCATGAAAAAAGAGGCTGAAGAAGGGATTAGCATTCCTTTGACAAATTACAGGTATGTTAATCAATAAGAATACACAATTCCAGTATTTTGAAAGCTTTCACAAAGTTTATTTTCATGATACGTACAGCGTGTCCCAAATCTAAAGTGGATCTAACGAAGCTAAAAAGTAATCGTAAACAGTGGTTGATTCGTGATCAACGCGTGATCGGTAGCCATGGCGCTCTGTCGGCCTCTTCCTGATTGGCTTGTAGCGACGAGCCTCCAGACAAGGTCGCACGGTTGCTACGCTCGGCGAGTTTTCGCCAGAGTGGTTGATCACATTCGCATGGATCACAAATCAATCTGTTGGTGCAATACGTGCAATAACTGTTGTAAAGGACATTATATAACAATAAATGGCATCACAAAGGTATATTCCAATTTGATCTGCAGCAAATTATGAACGGCATATACGGAGATGCGAAAACAAGCTCAAAAAGGTGAAGAAAATTTTTGTGCAATCTTTATAGTTAAATTTTTCCTAAGAGGTAGCATCAGTGAGGGAATTTTTTTCTATTGTCTTATTTTTCACATTAATACGATGTCGAGGTATGTGGCGCTATCGCAATTGAAAATAAGGTTTCGATAATCCTTTCATAAAGTTTCGATGAGTACATCTGAAATAACCTTGAGATATTCTTCAGGGAAATACAAAAATCTCCTTTTGTGTTTTTTTGTGCAGATTTATCTATTAAAATCCTATCCGCAATCTATTTTCCGTGCACACACCTTCAACCGAATGTATGCCATATATGATATTACCGTTTCCAACTTTCACCAAGGTTAATAGGAACCATAACAGCTCCCTACCCTTCCCCCCTATAAGAATATCGATTTGTAGCCTCACATTTCAAGGTTAGACTTCTTGTAATGTTTCTGTTCAACATTCGGCGATTTCTGACAATTTTCCCAATAAAACATGATCATTGTGACATTAAGCCTGGCAACGCTGCATAGTAGAGGGAACTCTCAGCGTCACGTTGATGGTTCGTCACCACGCACAGGATTGTAATCAGTTACGGATACCCGTTTATGAGCGCGAACGTTTTATGCACGTCTTGACTTGATTTTTCTTGCGGAAATTTAATATTAGTCTAAAATGTCTGACACAGATACAGCTGATGAAGTGGTTGAAATCAGCTTAACACCACCCAGCAAAAGGGCTAAAAAGCTTCATCTTAGCGCAGGTGAAAAACAAATTATTCTAAATATCTACAAGAACCAGATGCAAGAGAATAGTGGATTGGCTATAGAAAATATCGTATGTAAGGTTGCTGAAATTTCTGGAGTAGGTCGATCAAGTGTTTACAAAATCTTGAAGGAATATAGACAAAATCACTCACTATCTGAGCCAAAAACATATCCAGCGAGAAAAAAAATCATCGAAAAAATAGATGACTTTGACAAAAGTGCCATTAGAAGAAAAGTACATCACTTTTTCTTCAGGAATGAAATACCTACAATAGATAAAATATTGAAGCAAGTGAATGATGATGAGGACCTGCCAAATTTTAAAAGATCTTCGTTCCATAAGCTGTTGAAAGAACTAGACTTTCGATTTTTGAAAAGAGGAAGGAATAGTTTATTGATAGAAAAGGAGGAAATTGTTATCTGGAGGAGAGAATACCTTAGAAAAATTAGGCAATTCCGCGCTGAAGGAAGAAAAATTTATTATTTAGACGAAACATGGGTGAACGCGGGGCATACGCAGGGAAAGGTTTGGATAGACAGATCTGTGAGGTCCTCAAGGCAGGCTTTTTTAGATGGCCTTTCGACGGGATTGAAAAATCCTGCAGGTAAGTTTCGAAGTATATGAACTTTTTGGGATGCAGATAATTCATTTTCTGATCGAATCAATGATTTGGAAGCTCCTAACTCAGTTTTGCTATCTCATCCAAGTTTCTGAGTATTTCCTTCACCCAAAAACTAATCTAAGACTCTATCCTACACTAACCTAAAAAGAGTAAGTTGCTTAATTTCGTCATTTAGTGCGCTCGCTGAGAAGTAAAATAACTAATTACTTTCAGGCAAGGGAAAACGCCTGATCATTTGCCACATAGGTAGCGTAGATGGATTTGTTCATTGTGGGCATTTGAATCCAAAAAAACTGGAGACTATCACGAAGAAATGGATGGTAACTCATTTGAAAATTGGTTCAAAAAAATTTTGCCGACACTTGATGATAACGCAATTATTGTGATGGATAATGCCCCGTACCACTCCAGAAAATTGGAAAAAATTCCAACAATGGCCACCAAAAAGGCAGACATTCAACAGTGGCTTGTCTCAAATAAGATCGACTTCGACCAAACAATGGTCAAAGCTGAGCTGATAAATATAGTCAAGCGACATAAGTATAAATATGGTTTAAAAATGGTTGACGAAATGGCCAAAAACCAAAATAAAACGATTCTCAGGCTGCCTCCCTATCACTGCGAACTGAATCCTATCGAGTTGATTTGGGCCGACATCAAGCAAATAACAGCACTTTTAAGTTTTCTGACCTTAAAAAACTGTTTGATGTTGCTGTCGATAGAATTACGCCAGCAAAATGGAGAACATGTATTGACCATGTCCAAGAGAAGGTTGAAACCAAAATGTGGGATATGGACAATATCATTGACACCCAAGTTGAACCTCTTATAATTGACATCAACAATTCTGATGATTCAAGCTCCTCGGAATACAGCATATAAATCGATTGATACCATTAAGACTAGCAGTTTAACGGGCTTTTTGGCAAGACAGGTAAGTTCATTATAGACTGCAATCAAAGTGTAAGTTTCTAGTTATTAATGTGGAAATTCCAAATTTATAATTACACAAAATTAGGTTTAATTTAGGAGTTCCAAAGCATAATAGTGCCATTTTGACCTTCTTCCTATTTCTCATGTAAATTTTAATAGCAATCAAACTAACAAACTTTATGGAGTCTGTAATAAACTTTTGTACTACTACTACAACGTCTGTAGTTTCTATTTGCTCAAAAAAATTTGCTCTGCATTGTGAATAGAAGGTTGATTTGTAAATATTATTGGGTATATATGTAAGTTAATAATAAAATATGAACAAGTTCAATTGAGATGGTCCACAAGTTTTTTTCGTGTGCGTTTTCGTAACATTTTGCTGAAATGGTGAATACAGAATTTTTTGCACTGATTCCTAATGTCGAAATATGATTAGAAAGGCGTGGTATATTCCTGATAATTTACTATGCTTTTGATAGAATTTACAGCAACACATATCTTTTTTGATTGATTTTTTGATAGATCAGTCACAATAGCTTGATACGGCCCTGTAGCGTCTCCTACGGTTAAGTTCTTGATCACGTGCAATACGGGTGTATATGTTTGATTTTACTTTGTTTCTTCGATGGATACAGTTTATGTAATTATTATTTTCAACTTTTCTACCGAAAGTAAAGGTAGATGGTTAGAATTTTATTAATTTTTTTTGTAAATAATAATTAAGTAAAATTCCGTGTCGAGAATTAAATTAAAAATGATTTGTCTACGAAATAATCATATTAGATTTTTGAAATTTAATATAATATTTAGAAGGAAATTAATTTTAGGGATAGAGTATTGGCTGCTACTGGGGTATCAAAGAATACCTACCAGAGAATTTGCAAAGAATCTAAGAAAAAGGATTTACAAGGACCAAGTACCTCTTTTCAAAGCCCCAAAAAAGGAAAAATATGAAGAAATGGAAATTGGATTCTTTCACACCTCACCAGATTAAAAGTATTAGAGAAATAATCTACAATTTTTACATGATGGAAAAAAAATTACCGACATTAAAGGGTAAGCAATAAAATTTAAAGACTGTCTCTGGTACCTTAGCCACCCTTTTTCTCCATGTCAAGAGTTTCTGAACTATATTCTCTAAAATATACTCACCCGGTAGATTGCATAGAATCTTTGTCTATTAAAATGTCTGAAATAAGCTCTAATTTTATTTTAGGTATTAGACAAAAGATCCTCGATCGAGGTGTATTATCAGAAGACGTGGCTGAATTAAGCATAAGCACCCTGAGCCGACTTTTGAAAAAAATTGGATTTAAGTGGCAAAAAATGCAAGATAAACGAAAAGTTTTATGCGAATCCTATGACATACGCGCTAAGCGTATAAAATTCTTAAAAAAAATTATTGAGTTTCGTAAAGAAGGCCGCAACATCGTCTACACTGACGAAACCTATATTCATAGCAGCCATGTAAAGGATAAAGGGTGGTATGATGGTAGCGACAAAAATCTGAAAAAACCAATTTCCAAAGGACAACGCCTGATAATCGTTCACGCTGGAGGCGAAAAAGGTTTTGTCCAAAATGGATTACTTATCTTTAAATCAGGTAATTTAGTTTACTTAATCTATTTAGGAATATATTTTTAGAGTACATATATTTTTATTTTAGGAACGAAAACTGGTGACTATCACAACGAAATGAATTCAAAAAATTTTATGATATGGGTCGAGAGACAACTATTACCAAACTTACCCGAGAGGTCTGTTTTAGTTGTAGATAATGCATCGTACCATAACGTGCCTATAAAAAAAAATATTACGACGGCTACTAGGAAAGCGGAAATGATTAATTGGTTGGAAACAAACGGAATTCCAGCAGACCCAAAATTAACCAAACCAGAGTTATATAAAATTATTTCTGAAAATAAATTTCGTTTTCCCATAAAATATAGGTTAGATGAGCTTTTAGAAAAAGATGGTCATTGTGTGCTCCGTTTACCTCCGTATCATCCCGAACTAAACCCCATTGAAAAAATATGGGCTTTGGTAAAGAATTGGGTTGCAGCGCGGAATACCACGTTTAGATTGCCTGATACTGAGGCGCTGGCCAGACAAAAATTTGAGGAGGTGACCGAACAAGAGTGGTTCAATATTTGCCAACATGTAAGAAAGTATGAGAATGAACTCATAGAAAAAGAACACCTTTTAGATGAAGCAGTGGAAAATTTAGTGTTCACTGTTAATACAGGCTCATCTGAGGAGAGTGAAGAGGGTTGGGATGACGATGAGGCGGCATCAGAGGATGAACTAGGGTGTTCAATCCTTGAATCGGACAGCTCTGAACAAAATGACGATGTGATGTAAATAGGAAATTAACAAAAAAAAAAATAATTTAAATCTGGTGTGCTACAAGGTATGTAATTATACAACAGTAAACAGATTTTTCTTATTATAACGATTTTATACTTGAATTCATCTGAAGATTTGTTTTTTTTTCTCCTAAATTTTATCGAAAAATTCTCGAAAAACATTGTAATACGGTGTTTTTATAAAATTTCTATTCATTTTTTGTGATTTCTTTTACTCCACGGTCCCGTATGTTTGTTGGGGTAAGAAAAACTTAAAAACACATCTTTTCATTACACCGCTGGCAATCCTGTAATGCTTATAGACCTACAGTTTTTCATAAATTTTTACCTACCTAATAAAAACTATAATAAGAAAAATCCACATACCTACTGCATATTTACCAACTACAAATTCATATAAATAATACTAATAACAAATGCCATGCAAAATTTAAGAAATTATTGGAATCTGCCTGAATGTTATAAAAATATAACAATTAAATCTCACCAGCATGTATTTATAAAATCAACTACACCACTGGAATACCCCGAATAAACCCCGTTCTCTTGCTTGATGTGCGACATACGTCTCGCTGCAGCGCTGACGTAGGCTGTGACGTAGGTGTACCAAACTAGGTTGATTCTTACTTTATCCACTATAGTAACATACACACGGTGTTCGAAAAATACAAATCGCTGCATAATACTTACTATCAGCACGTGCATACGTTAGATGCATGTCTGCCATTTTTTCAAAAGTGTAACTTTCCATCACAAAAACCGAGACAAAAACTTTTTAGAGAAATTTCGCAAAAATAAATTACGTAAATAATTATTTTCTAGAAGAACTAACGTGCAAATGTCAAACTTCCATGGAGCAATGGATGTTTGTTTTCCATGCAATAAAACGTTTGTTATTTTTTTATCGAAAACGAAGTGAGGTAGGAAAAAAGTACAAGGAGCAAAGAAGCTGTATTTTCAGATGCTTAATCAATCAATAAATATTAAAGTTACAAAAAATGCAGTGACGTACATTTTTTTCCAATAACATTCACTAAGTTGCCCCCCGGGATGCCACTGGACCTATTAATTTTAATTTATTAAGGATCCAGTTAGCCTCTTGATACAACAAACAATACTGCCAAATTTTAACAGAATCGCTTAAATATTTTTTAAGATATTGATAAAAATGTTTCTAAAATTCATCAACATGTTGTTTATAGGATCCTGTTTTCATATTTGTTAACAAGAAGTCGCCCTATAAAATATCTCCGTCTATTCTCGAGCACCCTGTATATCAAAGCCTTAAGATTACCGAAATATGGAGTTTCGAAGAATCTCGGCTCTGCCTCCAATATGTTAAGACCGAAAGGGTACGACGGACGTTACTATCCAAATCAGGCGTCGCACGGTGTGTAGGTTAACCTAACAAATCAGATTTGCAAAGACCGAAATTGGCAAATTCTTATGACAATACCATTTTAATTTGATGATAGTTTACGGAGAGTGTCTTCAAGATAATATTGATGCTTCGCATTTGTGTTTAAATCATCTTTCTGTGTGTTTTTGTCCTGACCTGCGTACCTTTGTTTATAACATGCAAATGCCATTACAGTATACACAGTAGAAGAATAACGAATGTATCAAATTTAAGGAGACGTTAATATTCTTCTACTTTTTAATCTAACAGCGACATCTTCAACTAGTACTTTCAACCAAAATGTGACAGGGCAGTACTTCAAATTTCATACCAAATGAATAGTTACTTTAATTCAGTCTCTTTTTTTAAATGTTCCACCTAATCCAGAGCCAAAATAGAGTAAAACATAACAAGGGGTTAACGTGAACGCGCATCAACAGGTAGACACGGTTGCGTTTGTTGGTGAATTCCGGCGGGACAAATACGGCGTACAGCGTTGCCATATCAGACGATGTTTCCCCAATTTGGGGATTCGTTGATGGACATAACTTTTGTTGGTAATTTTTGAATATAGCCTGAAGTGCCGCATACACTACGCCAAACATTTGGCCCTCTACCACCCTGCTTCACCGTCTCTCCAAAGAATGAAATATTTGCACAAAATTTTCATTCACTAATTTTTCCATTGTACGCCACTGATTAGCGATCAGGGCGGTGAACGTTCGGATCCGGAGCAATTATAGGTTGTATTCAGTTGTAGGAGCATGGCTCGATGTCTAACGCATTCATGACTATCAGAATGCTGCCACAGCCACTGTTATTGCCTCTTCCCAGATGATCTGATATCCTGATTGCTTGTTAGAAGCTTAATTATCGTCCTGCTTGATCTAATTTGGTTTGCTTTGGAATCTGTTTGTCTATAAATAAGCAGTTCATAATAAGAACAGCTCAAGTTGTTAGCAGGAAGAAACATGTCGTCATTGGGGACTGAACATTATAGAGCCTACACTTGCTACTATGCCGAGTGTGAAATTCGTAGTGTTTCTGGTGTGTTTTATTTTGATTTCATGAAGAAGCCTGACCCATTAAAAATCATGTTGCGTACCATGAGAAAGTAGTCCATAGCAGATGACAGACAACGGGTCTGTCGGCACTATTAACTTTTTTCATCATTTTCGACATAGCACCGTTTCGACGGAAATTTGGCGTCAGATGTTCTATGATAGCACGATTCTCGACATCTTATTGTAACGAAATAAGTTAATGTCAAATGTGTAATCGGAATCACAATAAACGATACGCGAAGTATCTGAAAGCCTGTGTCACATCGTAAACCAACAACTATTTATTCATAGTGAACTGGTGGACAGTTGCTTTGCGGAAAGAGATATCGAGGTTTTGGTCTATGTCATATTCTCAACTTTTAATCTTGAAAATTTTTCACAGAAAAGTAATTGCTCAAGTTTATTGACATGACATCTAACTCTTCTGAGATGTTTACCCATAACATGCACAGATGACGACCAGAACGTTGGTCCTTGCTCTGGATGAAATATCTTTGTAGTCGGTCCTGTAGTCTGATAGTTTGAAAAGAATTATTGCAGGTGAAACCTTTCTTCTGAACTCGAAGCTTTGAATTTCAGAACGACCACACAGCTCTGCATTGCTAACTCCTTACTCAGGGTAAACTCCCTCAGAGTTCATACAAAGAAATTTGAGGAACTTTACTTGAACCTTTTCAATTTGGTTTATATGAGTTTGGCAATATGGACTAGTTCCTGACAAGAAAACCGTATGACTTAAGCTTCAACTTTTTGGGAAATATGGGGAACAAATACTGATCTGGTTTCCTAATATAACTAACTATTATCGATATCCCTTATAGACGAATATATTTTCACATCGCCAGCAAAACATAATTGTATACTCTTCCAATTTTTACATAAACAGTAGAATTAAAACTGGTCCCAAGTTGGACCCCTGGGGAACACCGGATGAAGCTGAGTAGTCAGACTTGAACCCAGTATATGCTACGTATTATTCTCGCCCTGATAAATATGATCGAAAGAATTTTATAGTACTTGCTGTGAATACAAGGTGTCCCAATTTCTTTAAAAAAGCACTATCATCAATTGTCGAAATCCTTTGGAAACTTTGCAAAAATGACATCGACCTGACAGTGCTTCAGATATGTACTGACTCAAAATAGCCAAGATAGCCAGTTATATACTGCATTTTAAGGGTATCTGAAAATCATGGTACTACCTTTGAGACCAGATCAAATTCAAAAATCTCTAGAATTTTTTATTCTGCTTTTGCACCATCAATGGCGCTAGGACCTTCGATTCTTTTTGAAATCTGTCTAATACTTATTTGAATTGGTTATATTCAGATGGATTGGGATCAATGCCTTTTCAAAGTAGAGTTCTGAATTAATTTTTTTTTATTTGTTCTAATTGGATACGTTAAACAATGATATTACTTGAACGATGTCAGATAACTGACAACCTCCGAGATGATTCAATCCGTCTCCCGTTTGATACCTAATTAATTCTCCCAGTGTATCGTGACCGCATCATCGATCTGCTCTCCATCTCCTTAATAGACCCAATCAAGCCAATCTGAGTAAGCCTAATTGCCTAAACGCACCCTTCTCGTCCCTTTACTGATCAATCGAATGTCATCTGCCTAATCGTTGCACATGTACTCTATTATCTACACGTGGAACGAGTTCGAATTCGGTATTGGCAGCCCAAAATAAATGGAATAAAGGTAATTTGAACCGCATTTAGAGCATTTTAACATGGCATTTCGGGCCTGATGAAGCCAACCAGCAGAAATACGTATCGCTCGGGTTACCTATCCTATTTTCTGCTCGAATCCACTTTCCTCCTTTTTGCGGATTTTGCCCATTATTTTCCTACTTGTTGTTATATGTATACTTTTCTCCGCATGATCATATTCTCTCTCTCTATATATATATATATATATACATATATATACAGGGTGACTTTGAAGTTGAGTCATTAATTTTCAGATAATGATTGTAGAAGGAAGATAAACCAAAATATGTGTGTAAAAATAAAAAAAAATAAAAATAATTTTTTACCTTGTTTTATAAAGTATCCTCCCGACAAGTATTTCAGTGCGGACCTGTATTTGATCGTGAGGTCCCCTGTGAGGTCTTAAGTCACCTGATTCACGAGCCCGTTGTACTACATTAACAAAGGCACGAGGGGTTGGTTGCACTCGATTGGGAAACCGATCCGCATAAACATGTGCCATTTTTTATTTCGTTTGAGCCACGCAACAGACACTATTCACACGCGACTGACACTGACTGATGTATAACTGAACTGAATAAAATAATAAATTGTACAAACATCGTTCCAAATTCTTTCGCTTTTTTGTTTTCGATGCGATGAACCGGTAAGGCGGATTATATCCGTTGTTGCCAAACACGAGCACATGATATTGAGACAGGGCGGTACTCAAACTTCCAAAGGGCTATAACTTTGTTACTTTAATTTTACCAGAAAAATGGTAAAGGAAAAAAACATTTCTTTTGATCAGATCTATTCACTGTTAAAATAAATGACTCAACTTCGCAACATTGTCAAATTGGTGGGGACATCAACTGTGTTTCGGTTTCCGAATAAGGATGCCGTATTCGCTGTGTTACTCAAGAGTAACAGGAGCGCTGGCAAATTCCACGAAAGTTGGCCTTAGATCTAAGGTCTGTAAATATTAGAATTACAATTAGTTCCTAGTGGAAAATAGTCAAATGAGAAGCCTTTAAGAAAGTCTCCGATGAAACCGATTACATTTTTTTCTTAAAGAAGATATAACACAATTTTAGCAATTAATAGTTTTGGCTGAATAGAATTAACTCTTAACTTTTCTTTGACCTTTAAGCCAACGTCCAATTAGGTTGACGTTAACGCTTAAAGTTTTCTTCACAAGAATCGATCACGCAAACGTAATAACAGCTGATTATCGGGTAACATTTTATACCCAATATCGATAAATGTCACACACATTCTGGCGGATGTGTCAACGCAAATTCTGATGCAGCTGTCTGTCCTACTTGGCGTTTTGTGCTGAAAACGACGTTTCTACCATGAAATTATGTCACGTCAAAGGCAACAAATGTAACCCTATGTCAGATACCGACAACATAATGATTTCTCAAAACCGAACCGAAACTGAAACACATTAAGATACAAAAGTAATGCAACAAGAAAACGGCATCCAG